GAGACAAGGGAGCAGGGTAGTGATGGGAGACACAAATGAGCAATAAACCCATAGGCACAAAAGGAGTCTCAAAAACTAATGCAAGTAACAGGATAAAGAATACCTAGCTCCCATTTAAAACATACTTAATACAATCCAGTCTGTGAATGATTTCTTGTTCCAAAATTTCCCTTTCAGACTGGTTCTTAAAAGTTTGCTGCCTAAGAACAGTTGGCATAGTGACAGAAGGTAAAGGTTACATGCTTAATTTTAGCTAGACAGAAGGAGGGAAGTAAAAGATTAAGAATGCAGTATAGCAGGCAAGACAATGAGGTGTTTTCACAATGTAGACAAGAAGAATGGAAAGATTTCAGGAGCATTACAGAAGGGAAAACAACATAAGTCAACAAACTGTATATAAAAGGAAACAGAAGAATCAAATTCATTCCCAATACGTAGATGTGAGTAATGAAGAGGATAGCATAATTGTGTTTTCAACAGATATGGAAAGGGGAAGCTAGGAAGAGGAGTTGGATAAAAAGTTCAGTTTTTGTTGCATTCTACTTGAAAGAAACAGCAAGACATCTTTCAAAAGATAGCAGAAGGCACAAAAAATGATGTAAAGAAAATCAAAGGTGGAAAAGTAAAGTGGAGCCTTATTCGTGTCAAAGCTAAAAGAGACTCACCAAGGTCACACAGGGAGAAAGCAAGCAGGTAAACATAACCAAGCTCCTAGCAAACCCCTAACAGAGATAGGTGGGGAATAAGAAGAGAATTTCTTCAAATATGGTGCACTAGAGAAATAAAGGACAACCCAAGAAGAGAAATAGGAAAGGACCCAACAAAATCCAAGATAGAGGAGGTCTCAAGAAGTAGGTAAAATCAACAGTGTTAAAAAGGTCAAGAATGAGCCCAGATAATTGACCTTAGAGTTGACAGGGAAAGATACTCCTTTCCTTTTGCTGTTCTTTTGTGTGGACAACATCAGGGGAGGAGAGGGAAGAGGAAAGGGTTAACACCAGATTAGAAAAGTGGAAAAACAGTTAAAGCAAAAGGATTAATCACATACATGAATACTGTAGGCTCCTGTGAAACTTCTAGGTAGAAAAAAAATACTCCTGTGATAGGATCTTTGTATGCTAATCACATATAAAACCACAAATTAAAGAAATACAGAAAGACCTTAGGTTTATGGAACAGCAGGTTCCAAGGGAACATATCAGGCATCTTTAAGGCAACACTATAACACTTTGTTTTTCCTGGCATTTTGAGGGGTTTAATGGATGTCAACAAGATTAGAGGGGAAGTCTTGTGAAAATGCAAAAGGATTTTGTAACTCTTTCTGGTTAGTGCTGGAAAGCCTAGGAAAGTTCTAGCTAAAGGTATTTGAGGAACAGGATCAAGGGAAGGAGAAGTTAGCACTTAGCAAGCCCTATTCAAACAGCAGTTCTGTGGACTTACAGGCCCTGGAGATGAAATAAGGCAGCATTGCTTTCCCTGTATTATTCTCTAAGCAACTAGCATCCCTTTCTAAGGAAACTATCAATCCTAAAAAGTTAACAGCTTCCTATAATAGGCAAAGCTATTCAAATAGTAAAACAGCATTACTAGACTTACATTTCAGAAGGGAAAAAGCTTAGTTCTCTTAGCAACTCTTGGCTAGAGAAGACTTCCATTTAATAACTCTACCTCTAAAGTTTCTCTAGTTTACAGCTTGTTAAATTATCTACCTTTAAAGGCAAACAGGTGGAGCATGCTCAGTATAAGCTGGAGAGATTCTTTAACACAGCTCAAGAGAGATTTTTCCTACATAATTCCTTCTTTTACTAATGGGAGTTTTGGAGGAAGAAAAGGTTTAAATGAGGAATAATTACAGCAGACTCTTTTTAAAGAGGAGCAAATGCTTCTTATTATCTGAGCTGCAAATTGCTATTAGAGTTTTGGATTATGAATTTTCTGGGGCTAGTTTCAATAATAATAATAATTGTAATGAAGTAGGTGTCTTGGCTTTGTTTTTTTCTTCTCTATCTCCATGCCTTTCAAGTAATGCTTGAAGCAGTGTGTTTTGCACTTAGGAGGAGCAGGCTTGTTTGACATAAAACAGTTCCTTGAGCAGATAGCAACACTAGGGATCTTGTATGTTATTCTATGTAGAGGGGGAAGCTAGTGATAAGATCAGGTGTTTCTGTGATGCACTCTTATTTATTTACAAAGAATAGTAACACTTCAGTTTTCTAAGGGGAGAAGAAACTGAACCCACCACAGCCAGTTCTCTGGTGCTGTGGGAAAATAAATCTTTCAACCAGGCAGCTTTTCCCAGGACCACCCACCTTGTTTGTTTAGTCTCTATTAAAACTTCCTTTTCTCTTTTTCTGTGACACTTCTTGCCTCCCAAATTGAACTCTTTCCTGCCCCTTATTCCCCACAAGCTATATCCAACAAAGCCAAGTTGCCAAAATCATACAAAGTCCTAAACAGGTTTGTGCTTGCCCTTATTCTAGAGCAGTAATGTGTGCTTTACTATCTCCTACAGATAACTGAAAAGAGTAGCAGTTAAACCTACAAGTTTCCTTGAGTTTTTTAACCCAATTTATACCAGAACTTGGCAGTGAGGTGAGATTTCCAATTCTCCTCCTCAGGAAGCCAGTTTATGGTTCCAATCCTTGTATTTCTGTATACCAGCATACACGGCTTACAAAGCAAATGGATCTTCCCCCAAGGAATAGCCCTTGTCTCAGCGTGTTTCTTAGTGGCACAGAGCTTTCAGTATGACCCAGCACTGTAATATCTTTCAGTATCTTTCAGTAAAGGAGCATGAAGATGGGAGGAAGGAAGACTATTCAGCTATTCTGGGCTGCTGAAGTAGCCCATGCAATTGTGAATTAATTGGAGTGCTATGTTTGGATCCCATAACCAATGCTATAAGTAAGATTATTTGTACAGTCCTCGGCTTAATTTCCTCAACAATCCCTAATAATGTTCTGTCTTCCTACTTTATTAACCTACATGTGCAAGGAAGTCAAGGGCCCAAATCATCTCATATTTCTAATCATGTTCTTAAGTGATGAAGAGTTAGCAGTGCTACAATCAAAGTGTTCTCAGCTTACTTTTGTTAGATCAATTTCCCCAGAGCCACATCCAGCTCTGGGGAAACTGATCTACAGCTGGCTGATACTTATTCTATGATACCATCCTGTTATAGTGCCATGCCCAAGGCTTTGGTGTCTATATAGAAAGGGTTCGGATTCCAAGAGATGTTGTGCTCTTGAAGAGAGAGACACTTAGAGGCAGAATTATCCTAGGAGAACTAGCATTACTGGCAGAGCCATTCCTAGGGCATGGAGAATTGGGGCGACTGCCCCAGAACTTGTGCTTTGTGGGGGAGTCCACAGAGCCAGGCAGAGTGGCCGTGACCCCTCCCGCAGGGCTTGCCTGGAGCTGGTAGCTCAGCCCCACACTGCGGAAGAAGCATTGAGACCCCCTCCTCTTTGCGGAAGTACCACGGCCCTGCGCAGTGTTAAGCGGACCCCGCACCCCACTAGAATCAGCTCTGACTACTGGTAACTACTAAATTAGTACTGTAATCTAGTTAATATGTGGCAATTTCACTTTGGATATGTAAGAATTTAATTATCAACATCTGAGACTGGTTAAAGAAAATGTATAGTTTTTTGTTGTTACTGAGGCAAGAGAGCTTTGTAGCTTATGAATTTAACTCAGAAACATAACTACCAGATGTATTTGCTGGGGGGCATGCATCACATAAGAGTATTAAAATCTCATAGTAAACCAATCTCTAACTGAGTTCCTAAGCAGCTGTCTTATTGGTGGGAATATCAGGTCTTTAGGTTCTGCATTTTAGACATGGGGTCTTGTTCCCAACCCTTGAGAAGAAATAAATATGATATGTTGTCCATGCAATGCCTCCTCCATGCAACATGCAGCAATAGTGTGGTTTATGGACAGGATACAACTGGACCTGGACAGGTTACAGGGGTGGGTGAATATGAATAGGATGGGATTCAACACTGACAAATGCAAGGTACTGCACTTGGGCAGTAAGAACCAGCAGCATACTTATAGGCTGGGGAACTCCCTTCTTGAAAGCACAGTGGCAGAAAGAGATCATGGAGTCATTATCAATTTTAAAATGAACATGGGCCGGCAATATGAGGACGCAGTCAGTAAGGCTAACCACACCTTGTCATGTATCCACAGATGCATCACAAGCAGGTCCAAGGAGGTGATCCTCCCCCTCTATGCAACACTGGTTAGGCCACAGTTGGAGTACTGCATCCAATTCTGGGCGCCGCACTTCAGGAGGGATGTGGACAACATGGAGAGGGTCCGGAGGAGGGCCACTCGCATGATCAGGGGGCAGCAGGGCACATGCTACAAGGAGAGGCCATGGGACCTGAACCTGTTCAGCCTTCACAAGAGAAGGCTGAG